TATCAGTGATTGGCAAAGGCAATGAGGGATGGCTACAAAAAGCTGATCATTTTGTGCTTGTGACAGGAGTTAGAACAGCAGATACAACATGAAGAGTTTGTTTCTGGGTCTAGGTGAACTAAGCTCTAGGAACAGGATTTTAGGTACTTTTATGCATTTTGTTCTATCTGTAAGTACACATATAAGAAATTAAGAGGTGAGGTTTTTAAAAGAAACATAAGGCATTATTGAGTTGATTTTGCATTGGAAATTCTGGCCTTATAAAAAACAAAGGGTGAAGGGTTAGCTGCTCTAAAGGTGTTGCTTTGTCAATTAATTCATTCAGAGCACATTAGCACTTCTCAAAAGATGTTTACAATTTCAAGGTCAAGAGCTAACCAGTTATTAGGTCTACATCAACTAACATGGTTTGAATTAATTCCATTATTATTAGAAGCTAAAAGAAGTAGAGCAGCATCTTTTCATGAAGAGGGAATCAAAGTGTATATTTCAAGTACAAAGAGAGGTTGCAGTGTATACAGGTGTAAATTGGAATAATATTTTTGCAAGCATTTCTGAGAACAGCTGAATAAGGTTCAGAACAAGAAGGACAAAACCGTATTGGGATTTTCATTTCATGAAGTCCAAAGAAAACTGGGACATGACATTTTGCTCTGCCACAATCACAGTAATGGTTGGTGCCTCCCAGACTTATGGGTACTCAGTTTCTAAAACAGTAACTATGTAAACCAAAGATTCTTTTAGGGAAGAAAGCAGTAATGGTGGCTGTCACATTGGTGGAGGCTAGAGCAGACACTTTGTTCCTTTGCTTTGAAAGGAGATGGAACATAAATTAAAAAGAATAAAAAAAAACCCAACAAGGAAACTGGATTATATCCTAAAAGATTCCAAACTGGATATAAAATTAGTTCTTAAAACAGGTTGATGACAAGCGTTTCCTAGATTCTCCAGATAAAAATGGAGACAGGAAGTAATGTCCTCAGTTTATTAGGATGAACAGACTGAAGAAAAAAAAATTATACTCTTTTTTTTGCATTCATGCCTGACAATAAGCTTCTCAGTGTGATTTAAGATGCCAAGAATCCAGGTCATTCTGCCTAGGTAAGTATCACCTTCTCCTTTGAGTTACTTTTTAAGTCATTCATTGGAACTCTGCCATCATCACAGGAAGTTTTGGCATGTAGATAGCTTAACAGATGAATTTGTTACTTCATGAAAGAACAAGAAGTTGCTAGAAATGTGCAGAGTCTGTATATAAGCAGGCAGAAAATTGACCTAATTGTCACTTCTTCATTTGTAATTCTCTGAGACTGATCTTCTTGAGTCTGAAAAGCAACTAATGGCTTTGAGTGCTTTAACAGAGCATTGGCAGAACAGGAAGAGCTTGGGGGATATACTCATCCTCAGCACAAAAAATTCTTCAGCTGGTTTTGTTGCTATAAATGTTGAGTGATTTGAATACAGACAGCAGCATTAGTTTGGATTTGTATCCATGAAACAACGACACTTGCTGAAGCTTGGAGATTATTTAGCTTCCTTTCACCTGAATTCATTTTAGCTCTTGGGCCCCATTTAATTCCTTAGAATTGCAAAGCTTTGTCATAACTCTGTGCTTTTACCTTTGGACTAAGATAGATTGTTAAGAATAATTCAAGAAAAAATATGTCTGTCACTCCACCTGCACAGGACATTTTTTGGATGTATGCAGATTACTCTGTCAAATTACTCAGATTCCTATTAAGCTGTGATGGGTTACTTCGTTTGCTGCAGCCCATAATTATGAAACGAAAGGGTCAAGCTGTGTTAGTTTTGACTTCTGCTTTCCTGACTTTTTTGAATTTGTGATAATTATTTAGTGCTTCTTAGTATATTATATGGAGACTCTGAGGGAGATGTTCTCATTAGCTATTTCTTCCTGTATTGAATCTCCATTATGCTTACAGTAATAAATAAATATTTTTTTTACACTCACATAATATATTTCAGAGCAGTGCAAAATAGTGAATGGGCCTTGTAGCACTTTAGTTTGTCAACTGTGGCTATATAGCTCCCTGAAAGTTATCACTGATATTCTTAATTTTGAACAGAGTAAGAGAATAGCAGAAATAACTGTTCATTTGGGAAGTGCTGATGATTTAAAATTGTGGTGATTGTAAAATGTTTTTACAGAGCTACCTATTAAATATCTATTGTTAAGAAATAAAAAAAATTCCTGCAGTGTACTTCAGGATAGAAAAAGTCAAGTAGAGTGCTATCTACCTTTTAAAAATCATTTTTAGGGACAAAATAGTCATATAATCAGAGTCAATTTTTCATATATTAGTAGCCGAGTTTTTCAGCAGTAGCTGAATACAGAAGTCCCAATAATTGCACAGTGTCATGTTTCCCACTGTTGTAAATGCATTTCACGCATGGCAGTAAAATGTATTGCTTGCCTATAACTACATACCAGCTCTTTATACTGGGGAATATTTGATATAGTTACCTAGGGTTAGTAGTACTTTTCTCTTCAAGCAGTAGTGCTGAAGTCAATGCTTTACTCAACATGAACAAACATCACAACCTGTACATCTTTCAAGTACAAATATGTACTTAACTATGATACATTTGTATTCAAATGTGTTTCAAAGTTCTAGGCTGGATGAATACATTGCTTACATATAATGTAATCACACAGCAGTCTTGTGCAGGCATAAATATGGTTAGCATGATGTTAAAGAGGAGAAGACTCTGATAAAGTGAGGAGGCTGTGTTGATTCTGTATCATAAAAAGATAGACTATTAACATCTATGAAACCTCATTTCTGCTTTATTTGAGGTCTCACAACTGACATATCCCCTCCCTGAGCTGAAGTTGCTCCTCCAAGTTAGATAAACTCCCCATTTCCTTGTGCTCCTGGGGGTATTCCTATTACTGTAGAACAACTGTAAAATGGAATGAAAATCCAAATCTCACCACAACTGGAAGAGCCAGGCCAAGGTATTCAAGTAAAGGAAAACAAATCTTGGTTCTCAACAGTTTAACTGATGTTTAAAATCTGATGTCAAAAATATTCCAAATAATTTGTGTAGCAAGTGACCTTTAAATTGAAATTAGGCATATGAGTGATTCCTGGTACACTTTTATTTCTTCAGTAGATAAGCTACACCTGTGATGAATGTAGCATTTGTCTGTGCTTTGTCATAAAAAATGAACTAATAAACTAAATTATATTTTATCTGTTCAATTTTTAAACTATTTTTGATTGTGATTGTCTGTACTTGATCTGCATTAATCTTTGCTCAAGTAAAAAATTAAAGATTTTTGTTTTCCTCTAACAGGGACCTTTCCACGTAATAACATATAAGATCTCAAATAAAAAATGTCCAGTAATCAGTCAAGACATTGCTTGGACTAAGGACATAATACTATAAAGTAAATTATATATCCAAAATGATTTAGTGGATTAGCTGTTTTGTGCACACTTCAGCTGCAATGCAGTATAGTCTGTTGCTACATATTTCATAAATCTCTGACTATTTTAATTAATTTCACATAAGATGGAATAGAAAGTAGAGCTTTCCCTTTATGGAAAAGTCTGCTGCTTTGAAGTGTAGGAGTCCAATAGAAAATAAGAAGTGTATACGTTTATCTGAAAGGAAAGCCATGGTAGAATGGTGGTTTTAAATCAAGTGAAATATTTATTTTCTTCTAAGAGCTTAGATATTTTTGGAAGAGCTTAAAAATGAAAGTGGCTCCATTTGAGGGAAAGAAAACTGAATGTAACTTACATAAATTTTAAAAAGTGTATAAAGTGGTAAAATATTGATAGTATAAGCATCAACTTTTTTAACAGCAATAAGAATTTTTGTATGAATAATCATATTGTTCCAATTTGTAAAGAAATGCATTTTCCTCATAAGAAAGTCTTTCTAACTTTTCTTGCCTGTAACTTTGAAGTAATTTCACAATAGGTGTGCTGTGAAATTTTTTGTATTCCATTTTTGATTTAACAACATGCTAGCAGAAAAATGATGCATCAGAGTTAATTAGCTTCCATTACATATTTTCATCTATGCTGTGATTTTATGCCTTTCATTGGCTCTCAGTTTAAATAGAAGTAACTCAGAAACCTTTAAACTTGCAGTTTGTTTTCCAGAGGATATTTAATAATTTAAAACATCTGAGTTTTTTATCTTGTCCATTTCTCTATTGCCATCATATAGAACTGCATCTCCTGTATATGTACTTTTGCATTGCTGTGAATTTTACGGTATCAATGTAGAAAATTAAAACTTATATTGATTATAGGTTATGTATGCAGTGGTGATCAAAATCTCCCCAACAAAATGTACAGAATGTTAATTTCTACATGACAGACAATGGAGGCACTTACATTTAAATCCTTAATTCAAAGCCAATGATCAAGCACTTGAAGATGACAAACACACACTCTCTGATACACTCATGGTCTTTCTAAAGCCCACACAACAATGAAACTATCTGGTGTCTCTATAGTCTGCTTAGATTTACAAGTCAAGTTCCTTGAGAAAATAGGATTGTCAGTGAAAGTAGATTAATTTTAACAAGTATTGAAGATATAAGTTAGGTGACTGGTGTAAAATAACTTAGGAAGAAACACATCTGGATGAGTGTTTTATTTAATTTATCATGCACAACATCTTATAATGAGATGAATCATTCACTGACATGCCTCTGTCTCTCCACACACACTACAGGGAAAACTAAGCTTTGATTTGAGAGCTAGCCTTAGGTGGGTAAAACTGGTAGAGATAAAATCCACATATAGAAGTTTAAGGCTTTTTGCTTCTTCTGCTCAGAAACTTATTCTTCAGCTTTTAGGAAGTAAAGTGATAGCAGGAAGAATAGAACCAGAGATAAGGAGGAACAAATGAGCACCACACTCTTCCTAGTCACAATTCCTGGTTACCTTGTTGATTTAGCCTCCTTTTACATGCTGGTAAGCAATCAAATGAAAGCTCAAAATGCTTTACCATACCTGATTGTGGACTTTGTTTGGGGATTTTGGCTGCTGCTTCGGGGCTGGAGGTGGCACGTACACGCTGATTGGCAGAATTGTGGATGCTACTTGGGACAGCTGCTGAGATGTTTTTACGAGGTTTCATGTCTTGCAACCACATTGGGGATGCCTCAAAGGCTTGCATTCGCCGAGAGTGGCTGTTAGCATTGACTTTGAGAAACGCCTGGGCCTTGTATTCCTGAAGGTCTCCATAGTTGGCATCGGTCACCCTGCACTCATACAAGCCTTCATCCTTTTTCCTCACTTTTGAAATCTGCAGCTTGTGGGAGATGTCGTTCCCTTGTACTTTCACTGTCTGCAAATTTTTCAGGAAAAAAAAAAAACAGAGAAAAAAACATTGTCATGAATTCTTCTTTCTTAGGAAAAACTCTATGGGCATAGCACCAATTTACTCAATGGTGTGATTGTGCTTACTGCAGGGAAGTTACATCAAGGATGAGTATGGCTAACTGCATCTGTGAGGATGCTTGACATCTTTGTTCCAAATCTGCTTAGATAGTTTGCTCTGAAATTTCATTAGAGCCTCAGAAAAAAAAAGCCCAAACTACCATGTGTATTCCAATTAATTGCTTAAGATCACGGACATTCTTAATGAGCTTTCTTATGTAAACCTATTACCCATGTAGTTTATTGGCTAAATCTTTCCAGTTAGCTTTATTGAATAATTCAGTTTCTAAACTAGTGTATTAACAATTTTGTTGTAGATGAAGATTTAAACCATGTAAATAACTTTTTTATTAGATTAGCTTGTACTCTTCACTATATTGAAACTATATTTTACATTCAGTTTGTCTCCTTTAAGTGTGTATAAATTTTTGGTATTTTTTTCTGTTAATGATAACAAGACGTATTGTGTCAGGTTGTTTCTTTTGTCTTGTTTATCTGTGTACTTATTAGAAGCACATGTTAAATGCTGCCAGCTAAAAAAAGGCTCCTGATTTATTTTTAATTAGTTCTAATATCTGAGGGCAACATAACATATTTTTATTTCTGATAATTAAAACACACATGAGTAAATTATACATCCCGAAATGTGTGACAGGTATTAAGATATATTGGGAAAAGTTAACACAGATTTCTTTCTGTATGCTCATCACTTCAGAGAATTTATATTTAATTAATTTTCAATTATTCTCTATCTGAATTAATATCTTTTGCCCCACAGGAAGGCAGTCAAAAGGTATTCCACGGGATATAAATCTTCAGCTTTGAAGAACTCCTGAACCTGGTTTACTTCCACCGTTGCATAAACATGGATGCAAAGGTTGCTTTGAGTCATATCAGTGACAGCCAATAAGGAGACACCGTGATGAATACATGATGGATCACAAAAATAGAGAACCACCAGATAGAAGCTAGACACATGTTATTGGGGACTGTACAATAAATTGCTTCTGACAGCTTGGCCTACTGTGGTAACTAGTGTTGGCAAGGCACCTATTATGCCTCCTTGATAAATTGAAGAGCAATACTCGTGAATATGTCATTGCTTTAAGGCACTGGATGGACTTTATAGCTGTTGTATTGTACCCAGCTCTGAATTTATACTTGGCAAACTGAGTTGAAAGTATAGATTACGTACTTACAGGCCTAATGTATGCAATATTAATTGCACAGAAAGTGCTGGATAGTTATTTAAATCATATTCAGTAACAATATATATCTCTACTGAACAGTTCATGTTCAGCAAAAGGATTAAAGAAGATTCATATGAGTGGAAAGAGAATTGGTAGGTCATATTGTGACTTCATTTGTTCCTATGCAGGAGCCTGAAAATGAACAGTGCTGCATAGCCCTGGTTAAAAACAGAATTGTTTTTGACTTTTGCATTTGAAATTTAGAAATTCTTGCAGGCAACACATGCATGTTTTCAGTTTGTGATGCTTTCTCATTTAGAACAGATAGAAATCGTGTATTTCGGCACACATCTATAATTTTAAAATATATTTATTCAATGTATTTTAGTTTTCTCTTCATTATGATAATTTACATTAGTACCAATGCAGCTGTGTATGCCTTTAAAACAAAAAAGGCTACACTGTAAAATGTAGATAAAAAGTAGATTTAGACATCTACTAATGTTGACTGTTTTTATTACAAATATAAAAAAAATGTTTTATGCAAGCTTGTAGGAGCACCATAAATACCTTGTCATGAATTAATATTATACATAATGAAAGAGATTTGTAACTTCAAAGATGAGACAAGCTTTATAGTCTATCTTGTGTCTCAGTTCTTATGGATTACTTCAGGGATTTCAAATGAGCCAGTATTGATAAGGAATGAATTATCTGCTAGCCCTATGTCTAGTAGAAAGTATCCAAGGACCATATGAGAGCCTTATTTGTAAGACAGTCTACAAATGCAACTGAAGATATGGTCCCTGACACAAATCGTTTCTAGTCAATGGTGAGAAGTATCACAGAAAATTTAAGTTTGGCTAGAATATGTATTGTATTGAACACAGCAAACCTGAGCCCTCATTTATAAATGCCCTTCAGCTATACTTAGGTGTACTTTGACCTGATGTAATTATCTGGTTTGTTATTTGTAGGCATCAAAAAACAGCTGAGTAAAGGATTTGTCAGAAATTATTCCCCTTTATTTGTTGCTGTTTTAAGCTTTGCTGGTACTTAAAGCCTTGTCTGCAGCTAAAAAACACTTCCAAAGCGATTATACCAGAGAAAGGGAAAACCCCTCTGGGCTCAAAGGGAATATTCATGCTGCAGTATCTGCTTAATATCTCTGTCTTTCCACTGCAGTGAGCACCACACCATCATCCCACCACCACACATTTCTTGGGATGCTGAGGGAGGAGGACCTGACCTATTCTGAGGTCAGGAGCAGCCTTCTGGCTGGGCCTGACTCAGGACACAAGTCGGCTGTGGAAGGCATCCTCTCCCTGCAGGGAGCAGCAGCAGGGGGAATAGAGCAACGCTGCTTTATAATTCTGTTGAGATAAGATTCTGGTTTAATCTCCAAGCACCAGACTGGTGACTGGTGTCAGAATCTCACTTTCATAAAACTGAGTCTCTGTGGCAAAGAGTTGAGATTGCTCCCAATGGGGAGGTTTTGTCCAAAGCCTTTCTGAGCTCTCTTTCTGCCAGTGGGTATGGACGTGACAAAACACCCATCTCAGCAGTCGCACACCCCACTAAAGGAAAGTGCAGTTTCATGGACAAATTTCAGCCTTAAAACCAACTTTGGAGGTCTGCTAAGGAAGACTCAGCAGTTGCCCAGGGCAAATGAGAACAAGAAAGGCAAGGATAGGTGCAGGCTGAATTTTTCACAGGTACAAACAGGGTCTGCCAATGGACTTTGCCTCGACCGTGCTGGTCAATGCCTCCACATCCAGGGGTGTGGGGGCTGCACGGGGAAAGGCTTTCCTAACACCCTCTGCCAGGACTGTCAAGGAAGTAGTCACAGAATTATAAAATCAACTATTTAGGTTGGAAAAGACCTCTAAGACCATTGAGTCCAACCGCTGAGCCGCGGGCTGCCAGCCACCCGCAGTCTGCAGTGGGATGGGGAGGAGATGCGGGGCAGGAACAGCACCCCAGGAGGCCCTCACTGGGGAAGGGACCCTCGGCCGGCGGGGACTGCCCGCGCCCTGCGGCGACACTTACGCTGATCTTCGTGCCGTCGTTGTCCAGGTCCCGCTCGGGCAGGAACTCCATCTGCAAGGAAAGGAGCGCCGCCGTGGGTCTCCGGCCCTCGCCCCGCTCCCCGCTCCCCGCTCCCGCCCCGCCGCGGAGCCCGTGGAGCGGCGCGCCGCGCCTGCCACCTGCGGGCCGCGCCGGGCAGAGACAGGGAACAGCCGGGGACAGCCGGGGACAGACGGGAACAGCCGGGAACAGTCGGGGACCCCGGGGACGGCCGGCACGGACGGCGGAGGGACGCGGACCCGCGGACCCTCCGCCCTTCCCGCCTCGCATGGGCGTCTTTTGCCGCCCCTGGTGAGGAGACAGCAGCGGCCATAGGAGCGTCGCCTCATGGCAGTGTGAATGGACATGGCGCATCCTGTCCCTCTCAGAAGGATGAAATCACGCTGTTGACTGATTTTGGGTTTTAAATTCTTTAAGGGCATTGGTAACCCCCTGCCTCCCCAGCCCCCTCCTGCGTGTGCCCTCCTGTGGCAACTGCTTACAGAGTTAGGGCTGCCAACTCCACTGCGCTAGCTGGAAATTGGAAGGCACGTGCAGGATCTTGCTACATGGGAAATATAAAATTCTCAGGAGGAGCAGTCTTTGAACAGCTGCTTTCCGAGGGAAAATGAAAATAATAATAATAATAATAATAATAATAATAATAATAATAATAATGAAAGGGGGGACTTTGGAAAACCTATATGGTTTTGTAAACAGCCCTAGCTGCATCGTGGAAGTGACAGACACCAAAGGCACCAACCCCTGTGGAGGGCATTTTTCTCTGCAGATTCCTGCTCTGTTATTTCATAGTCAAAATTAAGTCCCTAGAGAAATGCAGTACCTCCCTCTGCTCCTTCCCTCTGCTCTTCCCTTCTTTCCTTCTCCCCTTTCCTCCCCATCCTTTCTGTAGCATTCTCCAGATGGTTTTAGGACCCCATGGCAGAGGATGAGTACCTGAGTTCCTGTCACCTCAGCTCCAGCCTCTTGGTCCTCAGCTGCCCGCAGAAACCACCACTGGATTTCAAGGTACACCGAAGTAGAGCCACTTTGGAAAGCACAAGACATCTCCACATTCTGCCCTTCAGTGGCCGTGACATTTCGGGGAAACTCTGTGAATTTTGCTGTAAAACAAATGCATAACATTTTGCTACCTTCTAGTCATTTATGCTCTGCTTCTTGTGCTGTGTTTTTTTTCTTATTGTTTTCTTCCACACACCCCCCCTTTTAAATTCTCTGTTTTCTTTTCTTATTCCCACTCTTTTCATTTTTTACCTCTTGAGTGTGCCACACATTATCTCCCCCAGTTTTTCTCACACCCGGGTATGTTTTTCCTCTCTTATGCACAAATCCACCTTCTTTACACTCTCAATTCTTCTCATGGGAAATGCTATAGATCCCCCTGCTTGCTCCCATGAGCTGGTGAAGTTTCACATAATTAGGTCCAAATACCCTTGGGCAGAATGCAGTATTTCATCAGACTCACTGAGGGATTTTGTACAAGACCACTTTAGGAGAGGAAAAAAATCAACCTGATTTATTGTATTTTGTAGGGCTGAGCTGTAGACCTGTAAATTGTTAAACATTCCACAGCTAGCTGAAGCAGCTGTTGGCACAGGTACCTCTGGGTACTCTTCTGAGTAAGTGTTACAATCACTCCTCAAATGTCCTTTTTAAAGGCCTTACCTGACTTAGCTACTCAGATTCTGAGAACCTCTGCTTGCATAATCAGACCAAAAGTGAATTCACCTTCTGTTTCTCAGTCCCAGCAGACACTTTCTAGAACTAACCTTCATTTTGTATCCCAGTCCTTCAACAGGATCTGCTCATTTCAGTTTACCACTGCTAGGTATGAAAGCTAATGCTGATAGACATTGTCTAAGCCATCAGTAATTCTTTAAGTCTCAGTCTCTAACTTCCTTCTCATCATTCCTATCACTCACTTTAAAACTGTGCAACATAATGAATCATGATAGTCAAGTGAGGGGGACTGAAGACAAACAATCTAATAAATAAATGCGGTGTTTCAAGAGGAGGAAAAATTGGAAAGACTCTTCAATGTCGTTTTCTGTTATGAATTGCTACAGATTGACTAGGGCACATTATGATCTGAAGGAAATGTGATGCATAAGAAATATTGCTCATTGTCTCCTCCCCTCTTCCCCTCTCTATATACAATCTTCCTAGCCAACCTGGAATTGGTGGGATATTTTGGTAACCAGTATTACTTCTCTTTGCCCTTACATCTGTGCCTGGCAACAAATACTTTCAAAGCTGCTAGCTTTATATTCCACGGTGCCCCTTTTTCAGACCCCCACCCCCCACCAGCCAGCCATTGCTAGTCACCGACTTAAACTGCCAAAAGGACCGTGCATTTTGTGTGTTCGGTGCTAGTAAGTTTGTTCTGGGGTTTCTTTTCCGTTTGCTCCTTCTCTCCCCTCCTGGTCAGTACGCGTGAGCGGCGTGGGGACACGGAGGGGAACGCTGCCGGCATCCCCGCGGTGGCACCGCCAAGCGATGCTGCGGGGAGCTGCGGGCAGGGGAGGGAGGGCAGCCGGGGCAGCAGCGGCGGGCAGGGGCGGTGGGAAGGGGCAGCAGGAGCAGGACAGGGCAGGGGCAGCGGGCAGGGGCGGTAGGAGAGGGCAGAAGGAAGGGAGCAGGAGGAGGCAGTGGAAGCGGGCAGCGGGCAGGGGGGGTGGGAGGGGGCAGCAGGAGCAGGACCGGGCAGCGGGCAGCGGGCAGGGGCGGTAGGAGGGGGCAGCAGGAGCAGGACCGGGCAGGGGCGGTGGGAAGGGGCAGCAGGCTGGGAGCTGGACCCGGCGGGGACAGCGGCAGCGGGCGCGATCTGTCCGTGGTGCTGACGGCGGCGCCGCAGCCTCGGGGTCCCGAACGACCGGCTCCTGCAGCGCCGGGGCTGCTTGGAATGCAAGGCGCGCCTTTCGGCGGAGAGGGAGGGAGGCGACGGGGGTGGGGGAGGTATTCAAAGAAGTCGATTTTGTGTTTTTCTCCTTTTTTTTTTTTTTTTTTTGGTGGGGGGAGAGTGGTAGAAGTGCACATAGTCACGGAATAGGAATGAAGGTCTGGCTGTGAGGATTGCAGGGTAATAAGAGAGGAAAGGGAAAGCAGCACGGAAGGACACTGCAATATTTTAAGAGAAGCAGTAGGTTTAGCCAGCCGGTACTTGGTCTGAATGCAATAATTATGCATGCACGGGTAGGTGTTTATTGTATGCAAACATGCCTCTGTAACAACATGCACAACTCAAACACATGCATGCCCATTCCCCAGCACCCCTTCACTCTTCTGCAAGGTGCCTGCTATGTCCCTCTTTGCATTTGGGTAAAGGAAGCCTTTTCTATTTCTACTTTGGGGGAACTTCTCACTTCTTTTCCTATTTACAGGCAATCTTGTCTGTACAAACTAAATGTAAACCTGATGCTTGCTGTTCTCATCTCTTACACATTTTTGTTGTTTTTCTTCTTTTCCCCTTTCTTCCTTACCCCCCCCACCCCACCCCCCCCCCCCCCCCCCCCAGCCTGTTTTCAGTCTGTTTTAGCATAGAAAACCAGACGCACGCATATTTGAGAATAAATGATCTTACCTTGGGTAGAAAGTCCTTGTTGAATATACATAACTGAAAAGAAAATGAATCCAATATAAGCTAGAAAGATCCCCATCATTCCAAGATGAAGAAGTCACATCAGGGACAAAAAAAAGAAAGCCAAAGGTGTCCTCAGAAAAGAAAGAACTGATATATAAGTGTATATAGGTATTTCAAATATCTGAACAGAAAGAAATGTGCAATGTTACAAAAAGGCTCTGTATTGTAGACCTGGCTGCGACACTGGCAGCATTCTGCTGCTCAGTGGAGTCTTTTTCTTTGAGAAGAGCGAGTATTGCAATACAGCGTGGTTCAGATGAGCTGTCTCAGGCGCTGTGTTGCTTGAAGTCCAGATACAGACTAAAAAAAACACAAACCGTTGAAAAGTGGGTATCAGCTGCCTTCTGTGCCTTTTTTCAGCTACCTGGCAGTTTCGTCCAACGTCAGCTCTTGCTGCTCAGGATGGCGTGATGACTGCCCTCCCTACACACTGATCCAGCTTGGGAAGAGAGGAGTAGGGGAGAGAAAAGGAGGGGGGCGGGGGGGGGGGGGGGGGGAAGAGAAGTCTACTGTGCTTGTATTGCTACAACTTTTCCTTCTAATGGCTGTAATAATGCCTTTAACCCTTCCCTCTCCCTCCTCATACTCTACACCTCTACCTGTCTAACTTCTACTGCCTCTGATGCTGGGCTAAATCTGCAGGGGTTTTGGTGGGTTTGCTTTTTTGTTTGTTTCTTTGGGGTTTTGGTTGGGGGGGGGGGTGTTTCAATAGTGTACTGCTTATGACAGAGGGAGCTTTTATTGTACCGATGTAATCTTCAGTCTTTCATCCCAAAACACTCAGTGGCTAAGAGGCAATGCAGTGGTTTGATTTTTGGTGAGTTAAGCTGTTTCTGTTTTCTTCTTTTTCTTTCCCTCTTACAGGATCTGAGGGGGAAATAGTAGCTCAGTAATCCTGTCGCACTTGCTATTGCCTGCTCCAAATAACTATGCTTCTAGCATCTTACATTAAAATGACTTCATTTTGTCTTCAAAGGCAGATAAAGAGGATGATACTTAGAGTGTGCTTAGGTTGCTTTATACACATTTCTACAGAAAATATTTAACTAAATAAAAATGGATTTTCATATCTTACTGACATTAATGCATATATTTATGTGCACCAGAGAAGGTGTTTACAGTATATTAAAGAATTCTTCCTCCTGCAGCGAATCTTTTCTTCCTTGTTCCTGTTTCCTGCCTATGTATATTAATAATGTTCAGATGAGACTAACCTTGACTGTGTTAGGTATTCAAAACACCCTGAAACATATCTGCACTGAGAGAAGTTCTCTGGCTGAAATCACCCTGCTGCTTGCAGTAAGAAGCCATCTAGAAAGTGCTTGTTGCACTAAGCAATCACCAAATACCTTCTGATGGCTGAGACAGAGATTAAATAGAAACTGAAAAGAGCACCTGATAATCACTCAGCCAAATAGCTGAACTTAACTGCTAATCACAAATCACAAACTAAAAAAAGCTACAAGATGGTACCAAATTAAGAAAATTTTATCTGCACTGGCAGTATGTTTTTCTGGAACAGGACAGGTTCTGTCATTCCTGGCAATGGGAGTGCAGCAGTTGCACAATGGCACAAAATTCAACTTTCACCTTACTCACTGCACTAGCCAAATCATTGCATGCATACAAAACATCTGACATAGCTGCAGAGATCTCTCTCACAGGACTAATGGTATCTGATTGGAGAAAAATCTTTTTGTCTAAATTTTAGCTTTTTCTTTTTCATAATTGCATGAGTTCCCATTTTTATTTATGAAAATAAGGGAGCCATTTCTCCATGGCACTAGCCTATTCCAGTCATGTAATAACTTAAGCTTAGCAATAATTCTGAATAAAAAAATTAATGCAATAAATCAAATATAACTTAAATTATTAAAATGATCCCCCAAATGGAAAACAATTGTGTTACATGAAAGATTTCCTATTAGCACTGAGATTTAATTACTTTAAAGGAGGTCATGATGGATATATTCAAAACCAAAGAAAGCCTTTTAAACAAAAGAGAAGCACCAGTCTTTAAAGGTGGTAGACCTAAATTATCTGAAATAGTCAAGGTCTGTCAGTTATTCAATGATTAAATACACACTGTTCAGATCTTTACAGGTTCAGATGGTGAATGTTTCAATAATTTCTATAAAAGAACTCAGTTCCATTTCAGATGGGTAGCCAAAATCCTAAGTCACTCCTGAAAATGAAGGCTGATTATAGGATTCACTTCAAACCCATGTACGTCATCAGTAATCAGTTGAAATTACAAATTAGAGACATATTATCAGCAGCCAAGTTAAATGTAAATTAGATAGGAGGAAAAAGAATCTAAGCAGTATCACCTGGTTTAGAAGGAAAGCAGAAAACAAAAACAGGTCACTTTTTTGTCTTTTATTTGCTTCTTCCAATTCAAGACACTTAATAGATAAATTTAATTTTATCAATTTTTTATTTAAAAAGAAGAATAATTCTCCCAAATAACTTGTAGTCAATGGAACTAATGAAATCTTAAATTAATGTCCCAGGGACATATAAAATAATATATATGGTTATTAATATATCAGAACAGAAGATGTATTAGGAAATGAATTTAATGGAAAGAATCCTTTAACTTGGTTACATGGTTATTATGTTTATTTTTTCCATGTGCTGCAACAAGCCATATGATTCTATGAAATACCTTAAAGAGAAAGCAGAAATAATCCACCTCACATTATCAATGTTAAAATTCATCCTGGTGGGTGTGACTTCTCCACAATCAACCATGCTGTATGGATCTGGGCAGTGAATTTCTCTAGTTACCTTGCATGAAATGTCTGCCTTTTGTGCTGTAGAAAGACTTTTAATATAGTCTAACTTAAGTGAGAAGTACCATTTGTGCATTATAACACGAATGATATGGCTCATGTGAGATTCCTGATGCCTTTTTTCCTCCCTCTCAATGATTCTAACAGATAAGACATCACAGGACATCCTCCCAGGTCAGAAAAAAAATGTCCATGCACAGTGGAATTACTTTTCAAACATGCCAATGAAATTAAAAAATGGAAGACCCATTTATGATGCCTTGGAGCTGAATTAGGTAGATCTCTTCTGTATCTTATTGTGACTGCTATACATGTTCCATATCAAATGCTCCTTCAAAATCAGTAATGGCTCTGCATGTTTGCTGCTCTGCCTAGCTTAGAGATCCCAGGTCTATGCATCTGTTCTAACTCTTAAGGAAAAAAGTGATTATGGAAGAGGAGATTCCAAGATAAGTGAAGGTTAGAAATGAAAGTTATTGTTTGGTTAATCAGCAACAAGGTTGGAGTGCTTTGGTCCCATAAAGACATGGACTGATATGGGCTGCTTTGCCCTGCAGGAAACTGATCAGCTGATGTTTGAGACCATGACTGTGTTGCTATCCAACAAGTCAAACTAAAAATGAAAACAAAATTTATTTTTTAAATTCTTTTGTGTTGACTGTTTGATATTTTCAGCTCTTCCATCATTATTTCAATGATTTCTTTACAGTTTCAAGGCAAATTTTTTATTGTCTGATGAAATTTGTGACATATAAAAGTTGAAATGGAGGTTGATTCTCCTCACTGGGGATTGGTCTTTGGTTTTGTTAACCCAAGTGCTCATATGAAGCTCTCCCAACATGTCACCGTTGTTTCTTTCCAACAGTATGTAATTATATGTTGGAAGTAGCACCATAACTCAGTAGCAATTATTTTGGTAATAATTTGAAAAACAGCTTGTGCAGGGTTGACTATCAAACCTGAGAGTATCAGGACTTCTTACACAATTGCACATTTACGCAGTCAAAGGAGATAAGACATACATAGAATTATTAGTACCCAATCCAATGAGAGCCTTGTCTAGTCTCAGAGAATTTGTGATCTTTAAAGAGAGAAAATCTAAACAAATTTTTGTATCAGTTCTCTGAGTACAAGAATTTCTCACATTTGTATATGTGAGATGTCACTGTGGGTTCCCTGAAATTTAATACAATTGGCTGCAATTTCATGATGAAAGCAACATCCTAACCTAACTCATGACCAAGAATAAATGTAGAATCCTTCAAAACGAGTAGCATTTGAGACAATTGCCTATTTGAAGAACACTTGCCAAGTGATGCTTTTTGTTACTTCCTTGAGACTGCTTGTCCTGATTACTGTTCTGCATAAACATAAGCCATACTCATAGTTTGGAGATCCATATTTTGTGAAACTATACATTTGGGTTGCAATGCTTCTATGCTAGCTTTGCCTGTCAGGGTTTCAAGTGTTGGTTGTTACCTTTGGGTTTTCTCCACTTATTCAAATGTATATCAACTATCTGTGAAACCAGCAGTGGAAGAAGACAGTATTATAAAAATATTAGAAACTAGTTCTATTTTGCTTTAAAGATCTTTTATTTTAAATACTCTTACACTCTTCCTCCTCAAATCAGAAACATGATATTTTATAGAGGTATGATTTGTATTTGGACATCTCACTCTTGTGAAAATTCCTGCATATTTGGCAATTATCAAAAATGTGAATAAAAATGGATTTCATATCCTCAATAGCAGCTCACATACCTTAGAATCTGTATTCATTCATGGTGCCTAAATTTCTCAGAGCCCTGAATGCTGACTTAGCACATATATGACATTTTCACAGAGTGAACAGACATGCAAAGGATCTAGTTGCACAATCCTCCCTGCCCCCTGCAATTAGTATCTGGAGAAACAGGAGAAAAGTAAGAGAAAAGAAAGATTCTACAACAAAATGAGGCATCAATGAAAGGGTTGAAAGTCAGAAAATATTATAATGAAATTTGTCCATTATATTAATCCATTCCTTTCATTCCAGGCAATTATGATCTACTTCAGGTGAATCCCTCTTTTTTTTAACCTGGATTCATACTTCACTCATTAGACAAAGTTCTGGTAGTTTAAGAATGGATTCTTGCTTAGGCCTGGAAGGTAAAGGATGCTGTCATATGTGGTACTTATACTTTACATGCATTGGAAGAGCATGAATGTCTTCCTCCCAGGAAAGTTAAGTTCTGCCTAGAAGCAGAGTCTGTCTCTGACCATCAGAGCTCCTGAGGGACACTCCACAGTCCCTTACATGAGATGTTTCACACAGGGTCAATAACAGTGTGCTCCTCATTTCTGAATGCCCACATCAGGACCCTGATGGCTCAGATGAAGAAGCACTGAGCAGTCACAGTTGCAATTAAAGTGAAGAGATGCTGCAATTGAAGATGCAGATTATTATAAAATATGACAAAATCCAACAACTTGGACCCTAGGTAGTTCAGTACTAGCTGTTGTCTATGTGTCTCTGCTGCCTGTCTGTAAAGTGGAATATATTACCTTGTCACTTCGGAGAGGTTTTGTTAAGATAAATTGACCTTCAGGAAGCTCTCAGAGCTTTGCATGATGAGCACCATAGGGAAGCCCAGAAGGGAATGAATAATTCTGTCTTCAGCTCAGTGTTTGAGTAGTGTGCTTGGTTGAGGCCTAGGGACACACATGAAAAATAAAAATAAGCCAAATGTTGAAAACCTGCTGATTAATTTAATTCCATTTTTCACATGCCCATAATGAGGTGGGGGGAGGATCTAGAAAAGAAT